TAGTGATAGGACAAGGGATAAAGGGTTAAAACTTAGGGGAAATTTAGATTGGATATAAAGGGGAAATTCTTTCCTGTTAGGGTGGTGAAGCACTGGAATAGGTTGCCCAGGGAGGTTGTGAATGCTCCATCCCTGGCAGTGTTCAAGACCAGGCTGGATGAGGCCTTCGGTGATATGATTTAGCATAAGGTGTCCCTGCCCATGGCAGGGGGGTTGGAACTAGATGATCTTAAGGTCCTTTTCAACCCTAATTTTTCTATGATTCTAACTCTATTTTCCTTTGTATGTTTAACCCATGTAGTACCTTGCCCTTGAACTTTGCTAAGTTGCCCTTTCACAAATCTATATTAAAACTACTTTTGCTGGTATCTTTGGTCAGTCTTTGAGTGAGTCATTTGTGACACTGTACCAAAGTGAATTAGGGAACTGTTCTGCTAGCTCAGCTGTAAGAACAATAGCGGCCGTTGATGTACAATGGCCAAGAACATCTACCCCAGCTAGAATGTGGGAAGATTCTTCAGTCATGCGCTACTGGACCTTGTTCTTTCAGGACAAATTATATGACATTACACCCATGATGGGTATCTCAATTTATCCTGTTATGCTTAAAATTGAGATAAGAAAACCTGGTTTTAAGTAGAATCTATCTGCATTTTTTACATTGAGGGTACTACCGAAGTACTCTCAAGTCAGACAGATGAACAAAAAAAAAGCAAAGCTCCTTTCACGTTCCCACAAAGAACTTCATAGAAATCACAGAATTCTAGATGTAAAAGTGCTCATTTTCATTTTAAAAGGCTCTTTAGCATTCATTTCAAGTAAAATAACTTTATTTCAGATTACAGCAATACTAATAGTGAAATTGCATTCACTAAAAAAAAAAAAAAATGAATTTTTACAATTCAACTTGAAATATAACCTTGTTCGCATGTTTTACAAAACCTCATAAAAACAGATAGCACTCAACACATTTAGGAATTACATGGAGCTAAAATGTAAATAGCGTCATTCACCTGAGGACTTTCTAGGTCCTCCTTATGCTAGGAATCTTGTGCTGATAGAAGTGCCCCATAATCATTGTTACACTTGTCATAGCAAGTGCTAGCCCCAGATCTTAATCTTGCAAACAGGCAATATTGTAAGGCAAAGTAAAGCCATGACAGCTGGCTGGCAAGGAAAAAAGCTGTGCTTGCCATAGCAAATGATAGTCCCAAATCTCAAAGATCTTACAGACTGACACCATTTTAAGCAAAAGCTGTGACAAGTCAGCGCACAAGGAAAGGCTAACTTAAAGCAGTCTAACAGTCTTCCCAGTCACAGTCAAGAAGTCATCATCAGCCAAGGCACGAAGCGCTTCTTCAAACATCTCCTTTGTGACAGCCTTAAAGAAAAGGAAATCAGGTAAAGATGAGATCCAGGTAGGGGATGAAATACTTCAAAGACAAATAGAAATGCCTTAAATTCTACCAATTTTCTTATCATTTTTTTTAAGGTTTAGCTGCTTTTTGCAATTTGAAATCTGGCTAGGAATCCTGAAGCTGATTTTGCAATTCCAGAAGCCAGAATAAACTACAGTACAGCAAAGATTCAACTCATTTATCTGCAGTAGAACTGGCTTTCTCATAATGTCAGCTGAAAAACTTAGATGTCTCTCTCCCTCCATAGTGTGGTTTTAGGACAAGAATATTGATTTGGAGGAACACCGGGCTTTTAAAAATTAATGTAAAAATGAAGAAACTTACTGTATCAGACTGTGCTCTGAGATCATCAAAAAGCTGTTGGTACTTCAAAGCTGGTGTTTTACCCTTTGACTGGATAAGCTTCTTTAAGGCTTGAGCCAACTCCTCTCTCCGCTTACGAGCTGTTGCGCTCATTCCTGAGAAAAGGAATGAAAATACCTTTCAGAAAACAACTTAGGAGGACAGGTTAAGTTACAAATGCCCAAGAGCACCCCAGATCTAACACTATGACATCACAAACCTGTAGTGAGAATGGATATGTCGACAATTCCAGTCCTCGGATCAGTAGCAGATTGTTTCAGTGCTTCCCGATGGAGCCGTTTTGCTTCTTCTACATCGACTGTTTCAACTTTCTCAGAAAAGCGTACTTTAGCATGCGCTTCTGCCAGTCGGATCAGAGACTCAAGTTGTCGAGGATATGCAGAAACCATTCCCCTGCCACTCCCAATCTTCCTCATGTCCACATATGCCTGAAGAGAAGTCATTAAATGTTTCAGGAAATCCAGTTATATTCATTATTTTCAGACTCCCCTTCATCCCCCAACTCTGATTTCAGAATATAAGCAATTCCAGCTGCCATTCTAGATAATGTATTTTGCTCAAATACTGTCACAATTCATAGAATCATAGAATAGAATCAAAGAATAGTCAGGGTTGGAAAGGACCTTAAGATACTCAAGTTCCAACCCCCCTGCCAAGGGCAGAGACACCTCACACTAAACCATGTCACCCAAGGCTCTGTCCAGCCTGGTCTTGAACACCACCAGGGATGGAACATTCACAAAGGATGGATGACTGTATCACGTATACTACTTCCTGTTATAAAGCAATTAAGCCATGATGATGAATCAAGTTTTGAATCACTTTAAAAATGTAGGACTTGTCATTACAGACACAAGTATTTAAGATGTATATATTTCGTTCAGTAGAACTTCGTTTTTTATGTGATGGAACCAAACCAACACTTTGGAAAGCTAAAGATTAGAGTGCAGAATGACTTGTATACCAATCCCTCTTTTAAATTTTTAGAGATTTTTTTGAAGGATCTTACAGAAAAGTTGTATGTAAACAGAAAGTGTACATACTAGGGAATTTTGCCATTTTTGAGAACTTGGGAAAGACTCTGACCATTCTTAAGAGCAATTCCTTTACCTCAATAAGGGTTTGGCCTGCTTCTTCACTTAACCTGGGATTTACATAGCTACGAGCATATGCAATGTAATCCCTCAATACTGCCATATCCATGTAGTCCTCCTCCATCTTTTCTTCAGTTTGGTAGTACAGTGAAATCAAATGGCGAGCAAGACGTCTGTCATAAGCTTCATCATGTGGATCCAACATCAAAAAGATCAAGTCAAATCTGAACGGGATAGGAATCCAGTATTAGTGTGTCTGCTTCCTTGCCATGGAAAATAGTTTGTTTGAGGGGTCTTGACTTAACTACAGGTAGGAGTTACTTGACTATTAATTCCTACTCTTAAGTAGGAGTTGCTCTATTAATCTGAAAGGATATTTTTTTCTAGAGTTCTAAAAGTGCAGAATAGCACAGCGGATTTGCTTTCATCCTATGGACTTGAAACGTTCGAAGTGAGATGTTCTGCAAAATTCTGATCCCGTGTTCAAGGCTGACAGCTTTTGTTGTTAAAAAATCAACAAAACCCAACCACACACACACAGAAACCCCCTTCATAAAACCCCCTACACACATACCAAATACAGAGGACAAACTTGCTGCTAAAGCAACTACCCTGAAAGGCAACAGCAGACAAGGCACATATCTATGTAGTTATTTCATTGATCTAAAAAACAAAGAAAAACATAAATAAATGAAAAAAAAACCAACAAACCAACCACACTTCCTGAAGTGGTTCTTCCAAAATCCTGAAGAAAATGGTTTATAATTTTACAAACAATATGCTCAACTATACTGAACTACAGGCAGACACAAAGAATAGATTTTTAGCCAATCACATATTTTCATAAGCTTAAATCCAATAAATAGTAGAATCTAGACGCTAACTAAGCCTAGTTTCATTCAGTACACCTGCACCAAGGTACTATTTGTCACTAGGTGGCTAAATTAAGCAGCTCTTCATTGAGGTCTAAGCTGTAAGTGCAGAATATTCAGTATACCGCTGTACATCAAATTTCCAGTTAGTGTGGGAATTCTTCACAAGATGCAACTGCAGCACATCATTTAATCTTCTATCACCAGACATTAAATGCTGCTCTAAAAGCTATTGCCTGCCACCTCCCCAGCTGAATTTAACAGAGCATAAAGCAGGTACAATCTTCAAAATCTATCACCTCTGCTGCAAATTCCCCAGTGTCAGTGTTTCACTTCAAAAGTTCCATGGAGCCAAGGAAAACATCCTGAGTTTTTTTTTAATTTAACAATACTGTAAGTTTCAGAACAACTCTTCTAGGAGATTATTAGGAATCAACAGAAAACAAATACCACAGAAATAACGAGAGATCCTACAGATCTCATTATAGCTTTTCTTCAGTGTGTAAATACCAAAAGGCAGTTCTCTGCTTACACAGAAACTGTAAGAAAAGCATTTAAAGTAAATGTTATAGAAGGTTTCCACTACACTACAAAGAACAGAATTATTCTGTTCTATTACATTTAATAATTTTCAGAAGAGGACATATAACATCTCATAAAAATGGGATATGCAAGCAGAAGCTCAGTACCTTGACAACAGTGTATGAGGAAGCTGAATGTTTTCAATAGTAGTCTTTTTTGGATTCCACTGTGATTCTATAGGGTTAGCTGCTGCTAGGATAGATGTACGAGCATTCAGTTGGCAAATAATTCCAGCCTGTCAAAATAAAAAACATTTCTGAAACCAGCTGCAACTGTGTGCCACCAAAACATTCCCCCCCCCCCCATTTCATAAGATCATCAGTATTATTAAATGGGTTTTGTAGGAAAAAAAAAACTGCATTGCAAAAGCCTTTTGGAGTAAAGCAAGAACAAAAACATCTGGAAATACTAGAGTTTGCTATGAAAGCTGTATTCTTTTGTAAATGAGTTTTTACATAATCCAGGACTGACAGCAACAGAAAAGGATAATCCTTTGTTCTTCTGGTAACTTTTCAGTTTCAGCTGCATAGCATATACCACATACTACATGCTTCGTGGAAAGAGCACGGAACTAAACACTTACCTTTGCAATGGAGAGAGTCTGTTGTTCCATTACTTCATGCAGTACTGATCTTGTGCTTTCATTCATTTTATCAAACTCGTCAATGCAGCAAATGCCATTGTCACTGAGTACTAGAGCCCCTGTCTGAAGAACCAGTTGTCGTGTTTCTGGATCCTTCATCACATACGCAGTAAGACCAACAGCGCTTGAGCCTCTGCCAGATGTATACTGACCCCGAGGAACCAGGTTATGCACATACTGGAGCAGCTGTGATTTGCTGGTACCAGGATCACCACAGAGAAGAATGTTGATCTCTGCACGAAAGTTGCCTCTTCCTGTGTGAGTGAAATCCTTTCTTGATCCCCCAAAAAGCTGAAGCAGAATGCCCTATAAAAATACTCTTCTTTAAAAATCAGAACATCACCTGTTGTATAGCTCACAGAGCAAATCCAACTGTGAACCAAAACATCTAATCAATTGGAACACTGGGAAAATTAACACAACTCAAACATGAAAGAAAACACTTGAAACTGTATAAGTCTTTAAAAGGGTTTGTTCTTTATACATATCCTCATTTCCAGTTAATTACAAACATACAGTTAAACTGCTATGTCCTACAAACTCAGCTTTTAATTAAAGTTTTAAATCAGATACTTTCCAAATCTATTCCAAAAGTTATATAATCAGAATAAATTATCGCTTTTCCTAAGGCTATATTAATCTAGGACCAAAGTACTATTACCTCTTTTTTACCATTAGGTGCCATTTTTATCAGCTGCTTAGCCAAGGCTAGTTAAGTATAATTTTCTTTTCAAAAGAACTGTTTTGCTGCATTCACAATGTTACTTAAATAAAAGTTCCTTACTTGCCCATAAAGAGGGAGCTTAAGGTGTTTTATTTCATTGGAATTTACCAACACTTCCTTCTTTATATTTCCTAAAGAAAGTATATGCTTGCAGTCTTAGTAAAGAAATAAAAGTAGTAACTTGCAGTATTTTGAAAGTACTGGAATTATTACTTTAAACATATGCTTGTAATTTTATCAGTTAGCCAGAGTTATCAGGGAGGATTTTTTTTCCCCTTTTCAAATTCACTAGATTAAAATTCATTATTTCCCAGTATTTCCATTTCAGAAGGAAATCATTGTATGGTTTTTAATTCAATTTCTAGCCATTTTAGAAACCTGTGAACCAGGATAATATATAAATCTATAAATATACTTGAAGAGGATTGTTTGGTGTCTGACATAACCTTGAGACTGACCACAGACTGTAGTTTTTGCAATGATAAAGTTGTAGTACCTCAGTTGAACATATTATTCAAACAGTCCCTTCTTGTATATATCTAAATAATTGCTTTGCCATTCTGGAAGTTGGGGTCAACCAATTGTCATTTTAAAGCTATTGTTCTCTTGTGGATGTCTCTCTTCAACAGTCACTATGTGCTTATTATAGTACTTATTCTTTGATCACCACCAATCTGAACATTCAAGAAACATCCAAGATGCATCCTGCAACTTAAGTTTTCCCAGTTCTGCTGCTTTCCTACCTTTTTGTTACCTTCCCTCTAATTAACACTGCTTAATACTGTGAAAAGAGTTACAATGCACTTATAACTCCATCCTGACAATACCATGCCATTTTCAGACTGCTAGTTTTCTCAATTTTGAAGGCTTAAGTCATTTTTATAACAAATAATTACAAATGTACTTGCACATAAATACAAATCTTACAAGAGAAATACAGAATTTTCACCTTTTTGATATCTTCATGCTCGTAGATACTTGGAGCCAGTGCTGAAGAAAGTCTGTCGTATATGTCTATTTTTTTAGAAAGCTCTTTTAGCATTGCCACACGTTCCTCTGTAAATGTTTTTTGCTCTGCTTCCTCATCAACACCATGCAGGCGTTTTGAATCTGTTTTGCGATAGTGTATGACATCAATGTGCGTCTTATAGACGGATTTTACACTGCTGACCCTTGGATTAACTCGAATTGGGACTGCCCTGTAGATACCTAAATACAAATTTTAATCACAGCATTAGATATGAAGATCATGGTAATTCCAAAATCTGAGAATTTTACATGTTCCCTTGAGAAGTAAAGCTTTTCACAGCATTAGATATGAAGATCATGGTAATTCCAAAATCTGAGAATTTTACATGTTCCCTTGAGAAGTAAAGCTTTTCAAAATAGCCTAAATACTTTATTTATTGTATTTATTTTATGATTTATTTCCTGGTACAGATAAATCATGTAGAAACCCATGGAACATATTTAAATCATCTAGGCACTATTTTTGCAGGTACATGTAACATTCTTATCACAAGTATTCTCAACAAGGAAAATTCTTAAGCATTTTTGAAAAAAATTAAGGCTTGATGCTTTTGAAAGTCCTGCTCCAACAGCATCCCCCCAGTTCTAAGTGCCAAGTTTAGTAATAGTCTTCTAATGCATCTCTAATAGCTAGTAGTACAGCAGTTGTTTAAAAACAAAATTGTTTATAAAACATGGTTGCAGTATCACTAGACTTCCTCTATGTTACCACTTTTCTGATAGTAGACGCCATTTCAGATACTGCCTCTTCCTCACCTACATTCTCAGAATACTGAACCATCAAGGTCAGACAATTCCCTCCAGTATGTTCATGTCTCCCTTGGAGAGAGGAGTCCAGAACTGGACTGCATACTCCAGATGTGGCCTCACCAGTGCTGAACACAGGGGAAGGATCACCTCCCTCAACCTGTTGGCAACGCTTCCCTTAAGACAGCCCAGGAAGCTGCTGGCACCAGTCATCTGGTCTGTCAAGCTCCGATTCCTTCCAGTTTTGCTTTTGTCTGCAAGTTTACTGAGGGTGCACTCTGTCCCATCATTACATCCACATCATTACTGAAGTTATCCAACAGAGTCTGACCCCAGTATTGACCCCTGTGGTATACCTGTGGTGACCAACCTCCAGCTGGACTTTGTGCCACTGATCATAAAGCTTTGAGCCCAGTACTTCTGCCAGTTTAAAATCCATCTCACTGTCCATTTCTGAAACCCATACCTCATCAGTTTGTCTATGAGAATGTTACAGGAGACAGTGATGAAAGCCTTGCTAAAGTTGAAATAAAGAACACCCACTGCTTCAGCCATCTCATTGTAGAAGATTATTAGCCACTGTAAATACATGCTGACTACTCCCAATCATTTTTTTGTCCTTCATACAGTTAGAAGCGGTTTCTAGGATTATTGGCTCTATCACCTTCCCGAGGTCAAGATTAGGTTGACTGGTCTGTAGCTCCCCAGGTCTCCTCCTTGCCATAGGAGCGACACTGGCTGTCTTCCAGTATCTTAGCCAGTTACCATGACTTCAGAGAACTGAGTGGCCTTACAAAGACAGTGGCCAGCTTCCTCAGAACTTGCAGGTGCATCCTGTCAAATCCCTTTACAGACAAGATCAGTGAAAGAGGAAGAAATACTCAAACCAGACTTTACCTGTGACATTAACTCTGTCACCTGGCTGAACTTTATCGACCAGGTCATTGTGAGCAAACAGGACAACTGTATGTGGGGTCTGTCCTGCTGGCATATCTTCAGGGGACTCCTGCAGTTTGACCTAGCAAAAAACACTGTTTTAGTTTCAAGAAATAAATGCTTTTCCGCAAAACATGCAACAGAATCTTAGCAGGGTCTCCAGAATAATTCTGAATCTGGAACATCATTCAAGAACAGTATACCCCCATCCAAACAGCAAAACGATTACTAATGAAAAGATACGATGAAAATGAGAATTCTGCTAATTGCAACTGGTATGGCTAAAATACTGTTACAGACAATGCTTAATCTAGTCCAGGTACAAGTGGACATACTATATATAAAGGCGTTTCCATATGGAAACATCCAGATGTTCATTTCATCATTTTAGGGTATTTCTTCTCCAAAGTATACTGATACTTCTACTAAGCTGTTTCACCCATTTTCATGTTCCAAAACACTCTTCCCATTTCAAAACATTCAGTCTCAAAGATACGTATGTTAATGCTGTTGATGATACAGAGGGGTGGGGGAGCAAAAACCAGAAACTTTCTTTTTAGTCACTACCTAAGCACAACATACCATCTGTTTGTCAGAGAACATGGATCGATTGTGGATGAGCACCATACTGTGCACTGTGTTACAGTTCTTGCATACTGATGGTTCAGCAATCCTGCCACGATCGATTTCTACTCTGGTGGTGAAAGCGCAAACCTGGCATTTAAAGAATGCTTCTTGCATCTCAGGAATTAACTGGGAGCTTCTGATGATCATACCACTGATGGTGATAAGCTGATCGATATCTACAAAGCATTGAGACTTGTGTCATGACTTCATACGCTTAAAATTTAAAGTAACCTTCAAAATTACATGTTGTGTTAACTTTTAGGTGGCAGGTAGACATTCAGTTAGGTACTAGTATTTTGCCTAAGACAAAGCAAAAAGAATCATAAATGGGTAGTACATATATTCTAATTTTCAGGAATATTTATACAAATGAAAGAATCTTCACTCTCACAGAACTAAGAACATGAGTAGAAGCTCCAGGGAGACTTTGTAGCAGCTTTCTAGTACATAAAGAAGCCTACAAGAAATCTGGAGAGGAACTTTTTACAAGGGCATAGAGTGACAGGATAAGGGGCAATGGCTTTAAACTGGATGAGGTAGATTTAGATTAGATATTAGGAAGAAATTCTTCAGTATGAGGGTGGTGAGACACTGGAACAGGTTGCCCAGAGAAGTTGCGGATGCCCCATCCCTGGCAGTGTTCAAGGCCAGGTTGGATGGGACTTTAAGCAACCTGTTCTAGTGGAAAGTATCCCTGCTTATGGCAGGGGGGTTGCAACTGGATGATCTTTAAGGTCCTTTCCAACCCAAACTGTTCTGTGATGCCAGGAAAGATTTCCTTTACAGATTGATTATTTTGCATTTGGGCTCTAAAGCATTTGTTTCTGAAACAGACATAAACACAAGACACTGGTCTGGATGGACTACAAGTACAGTTTTATACAGTCTTCATGTAATTTTCTGTTAATACTCAATAAGTCTATACAAACCCTTAAGATTATTTTCTAACGCAGTAATCAAAAGTTTACCTTCAGGGTTTAGATTTCTCATATTTGTAGTCTTCAGTGCATTATATGGCCTTACTTGAATCTGATGTTCTAATATTGAATCAGGGTAACGATCAAAAAAGATCTCATTGGCAGCCATGTCAAACGTTGGGATAACTTCCTGTGTGAAATGGTTAGAAACAGTTAAGCTTAAATTTTAAAAAAGTAAATAAATCACAGAATTAAATACTTTGCATAAAAGCACTTTACATGCTGATGATCAGCCAGGAATGACTAAAAGTTATCCCAGCTGAGCATCTTCCTATGTAACAGAAGACTTGCTGTTTAGATTGGGTTTATTTATTTGAGTATTGCAAAGAGGGGAAAAAAATAACAGACGAGACTCTGAACACTGTAGCACTGTAGTTTACCAGCTAGTTTTGCATGCATGAGGTGCCCACTACAGTATCTATGCTCAACCATTAGGAAGACATTTTGCATTAAGTAGAATAAAGAAGCTACAGAGATAACACTGAACATACAAAGCACACACTGCATCTAAACAAACAGATCACAAGCCAGAAATAATACAGAAAGGCCACTTGAAAGCCAGAAAACAAGCACACTACTTCACCTGAGGGTAGCAGATGAGTTGCCTGTAAAGGTTTTCATCAAATGATCTGAGATGGTCACAATTTACATTCAGGAATGGTTCCCCAATCATATTAATCTGAAAGACAGTTGAAAAGAAATATTTAGCTCAATGGTACACAAGACTAAAAAATGAAAAGTTAAATTTCACTGGGTTACAAATACCTCTTCAAGTCGTTGCATATAACGGGGCTCATTGAGATCCAAGCCAACGTCTTCATCCTCTTTACCTACTGGATCGATGAAGCGCTGAAGAAATCTCTGAATGTCAGAGGTAATAAGGAGACAGACAGGAAAGGTGAGCAGAATTTAGTAATATGAACACCGACTTTGCATCGATGCAACTAATACTTGCTTAAGTCAAACTAGCTTTTCATTTAAAAAGAGGAAAAAAAACCCCAAGTTGTTAACCTACCTGGAATTTTTCTTTGCATGAGGCTACATTAACATCTGTTCCCCAAATGACAAGCTTTTGTCCAAGAGATTGGTCGGTTGCTATATCTTCAGCCAGCTGCATGGAAACAAAATAAGCATACACAAATATTGTTGTCAAAAAGAAGTTGTCAGATACAAAATCCTAAGACCTCTACCTACCCCATCTGAGTGTAAATCGACTTCTCTGGCTTTACGGACAGACCCGAGATCTGGCCTCTGCCGAACTGGAGTTCCTCGGATACCGCTTCGTGGAGTACCCTCCACCCTGGAGCTGGGTGTGCCGTATGTCAGAGGTGAACTGATATCGAAGTCAAGTGGAATAGCTATTAGGAAAAAAAAAATATGATTATCAAGACATTTTGCATTATCAAGACATTCAGAACAGACTACAATTCAGCCTCTGCATTTGTCTCTTCATTCTTTTAACTCTACTGTCATAAAACAAGTGGCATCAATCAATTCCAGAGTCTTGTTAAAGCAGAAACAGTAAAAATGTTGCAAGTCTACCTAGAACTTTGCATTAACATCTCTTCTGAGAGACCCCAAAGCTCTAGGAAAAGGAGGGAAGCTTAACTAGAGAGCTTTAAAGCGGTACAGCATTTTACAACTACACTGGTGTTCAAGCATAAGAAGTCAAACGGTAGCATTTTAGATGAAATGCATTCTTCAGTATTTTGGGGCTGCAAAACAAGTGTTATAACAGTTACCAGCTACTGCAATGAAAACCAGTCCTGTTTATAGAAACAAGAAAGGCATTTTAAGGCAACGAGTCAAATTATTTCTGCATTCATAATTTGACTGATTTATTGTATTCTAGAAACACATGAAAACATAAGGCATAACCCCTGATACATACTTCCCAAGATGGCTGAAAGCTACAACAGCAGATCTGCACCTTTGACACTGTGTTCCTGCTATGTTCGCTATGACAAATTCAAATCGAAAACTTGCAACAAAACTATTTTTCCCACCCCCTCCCTCTTCCCCCCGACTATTTTTCGTTCTCCGCACCGGCTCGCTAGGCAGCAGCAGCGGAGCTGCCCGAGCCCCGGCGTACTGTACCGGAGTGCTGGAACTGCGGAGGGCTGGAAAAGAGCGCATCGGGGCCGCCGGGGCTCTGCAGGTCGGCGGGCGGGGAGGTGGGCATGGGCTGCAGCTCTCCGATGGAGGTGGAGTCGTCAGTCCTGCGCTTCTGCGAAGGAGGAGACCGAGCATCCTGCGCTGCAAGACACAAAGCATAAACGGACCCGGCGTTTAGATGGTCGCCCTGCCGCATAAGGCGGACCGAGGAACATGCACGGCAGCGGACGAGAACGCCCTGCAGCCAGCACCCACCCGCTCCCTCAGGCCCGGCCGCCTTACCCCCGTCCCGAGCCGACCCCTTCCCATTGAAACACTTACGAGTAGACGGATTGCTGCCCCGGCCGCGCTTGCTGCCGCGGCGGCGGCTGGGGGTGGAGGCGGGCGACGACATGGCGCTGCTCCGGCTCCCGCGGCGGTCCTACCTGTGGGGGTCCGACAAGCGGAAGGCAGCTGCGGGCGCTCTGCTAACAGGCCGAGCCCCTACCAGCGGATTCTCCTCCCTACCCCTTCACGCACAGCGGATAAACAGACGGCTAGGGACACAAGCCGACCACACCTGGACAAACGTAGCGACACCGGCAAATTCCGCGCCAAGAGACTCGCGTGCGCGCGCGTTCGCGGGCTTTCTGGCCAATGGTTAGGCCCGATCGCAACGGGAGCACCCAACAGAGACAGGAAAGGGGGGATGCGGAACGGAGAAGGAAAGGAGGAAGAAGATAAACTTAC